ATATCACATTCTAATTGCTTATAATTATAACCATGATTTTTAAAGGGGTGGACCGGTAAGCCAACAGAAGTCCTCGGTCAGATGACCAAAAGCTTCAGCTATGGGTCATCACATGACTAAGACCCGAGTCAAGAAACACTTGTCCTGTTTCCTGACAAACTATACCTACCTACATAACATGCCACCTCCAATGTGGCTTCCCCTTTCCCGTTCGTCTTCTCCAGCGGAACAACCGTCCACAGCTTCTCTCTCAAACAGCCTGGTGAGAAAAGCAGACTCGATGCCCTCACTAGCCATTTATCACATAACTTCATTTTTAAGTGTGCGCGCGAGCGTGCGCGTGATAATGGTAGAATTACCCACAATATATTAGGTTAATGGACAAAGCTCCCGGAGAGCGAAACGTTTCCACAATAAAATGCCGAATTAGTTACACATGTCTCCTTTCACCTCACCTGTATGGTTGCTGAGGTTGAGTCTCGGCTCCTGGCCCCGCTTCTCCACTGGCCGCTACTGCGTTTTCCCTTTCTTGGCTTTGAGGTTTCTTAAAGCTATGTAATGATCGCTGTATAGCCCTTGTGGCTTAGCGCTTCTTTTTGATTATAATAATAATAATAATATGTAATGATGGTGCCTCCACCACTCCACACTCCAGGTCCTTCCACTTACTGACTACTCGAAGATTTAACAAATACTTCCTTACATCCTTGTGAATTAATTATCTGTCTGTTCAGCGTTTAGCTGTTTCTTGTCTCGAAAATTCTATCCCTGTTCACCTTATTAATTCCTCTCGGTATTTTTATGTCGTTGTCATATCTCTTAGTCCTTCTGTCCACTCTTATCAAGCGTTGCTCCCGTGTGTGTGCGCGCGCGCGCTCACCTATCTGTACTCGCCTATTTGTGGTTGCAGGGGTCGATTCACAGCTCCTGCCCCCGCGTCTTCACTGGCCACTACTGAGTCACTCTCCCTGCACCATGAGCTTAAACCTAAGAATGGATCCTGCCTCCACATCGCTTCCCAAACTATTCCACTTCCTAACTACTCTGACTGAAGAAATGCTTCCTAACATCCCTGTGATTCATCTATGTCTTCAACTTCCAACTGTGTCCCCTTGTTGCTGTGTCCCATCTCCGGAACATTCTGTCCACCTTGTCAATTCCTCTCAGTATTTTATGTCGTTATCATGTCCCTCCCTCTCTCTCCTGTCCTCCAGTGTCGTCAGGTCGATTTCCCTTAACCTCTCTCGTAGGACATATCCCTTAGATCTGGGACTAGTCTTGCTACAAACCTTTGCACTTTTGTTTCTTTACGTGCTTGGCTAGATGTGGATTCCAAACTGGTGCCCCATACTCCAATATGGGCCTAACGTACACAGTGTACAGGGTCCTGAACGATTCCTTATTAACATGGGGGAATGCTGTTCTTAGGTTTGCTAGGCGCCCATATGCTGCAGCAGTTATTTGGTTGATGTGCGCCTCAGGAGATGTGCCTGGTGTTATACTCACCCTAAGATCTTTTTCCTTGAGTGAGGTTTGTGGTCTCTGGCCCCCTAGACTGTACTCTGCGGTCTTCTTTGCCCTTCCCCAATCTTCAATCTTTGTGTGTGTGTATGTGGTGTGTGGTATGTGGTATGTTTTGTGTGGTATGTAGTGTGTGGTATGTGTTGTGTGGTATGTAGTGTGTATGTGGTATGTGTTGTGTGGTATGTGTTGTGTGGTATGTAGTGTGTATGTGGTATGTGTTGTGTGGTATGTAGTGTGTATGTGGTATGTGTTGTGTGGTATGTAGTGTGTATGTGGTATGTGTTGTGTGGTACGTGGTGTATGTGGTGTGTATGCGGTATGTGTTGTGTGGTATGTAGTGTATGTGGTATGTGTTGTGTGGTATGTAGTATGTGGTATGTGTTGTGTGGTATGTAGTATGTGGTATGTGTTGTGTGGTATGTAGTATGTGGTATGTGTTGTGTGGTATGTAGTATGTGGTATGTGTTGTGTGGTATGTAGTGTGTATGTGGTATGTGTTGTGTGGTATGTAGTGTGTATGTGGTATGTGTTGTGTGGTATGTAGTGTGTATGTGGTGTGTGGTATGTGGTGTGTATGTGGTATGTGTTGTGTGGTACGTGGTGCTTGTGGTGTGTTTTATGTGTTTGTGAATAAAAATAAGTGACATTCTAGAGGGAGTCACGTCAATTACCATCTATACAATTACATGGAAGCGCTACAACCATATGGGTCATTCAACATATAGGGGATGGAAGGCAGTCTGGTTTGATCCGAGAGAGGGAATCAAGGCCCTTTACCGGAGCTGAATGCGTAAGAGAGATAAGATTTTGTTAGTTTTTTAAGTCAGTGCGTCACCCAGGGACTGTCTTATTTCCATTGTGGTCCTTAATCTTGTCCCCGAGGATGCCACCCACATCAGTTGACTAACACCCAGGTACCTACTTGCTTGCTAGGTCAACGGGACAACAGGTGTAAGGAAACACGCCCAATGTTTCCGCCCTTGCCAAGGATCGAACCACGGACACTCAGCGTGTGAAGCGAGAGCGTTGCCTATCAGACCACGGGACACTGGTAGTATATTTATTTGCTTCAGATCATTAAAATACTGAGGAAGATTTTATTTAGATAATAAACCCGAAGGGTTAATAACACGGTGGGTTAATAACAGACGATGGGAAATAAAAATTATTATTATTATTATTAAGAAAGACGATAATTTTTATTTCCAATTTACGTCTCGAGTTTCCCCCAGGATGCCACCCACAACATTCAACTATTTAATATTTACTGGTAGGTGCTGGTATAATATCTATGATGCATGGACAGGGCAGGTTGCATGTCCACCATCACAGTCCAGAAGGTTACATGTCCACCACAAGTCCAGAAGGTTACATGTCCACCACAACAGTCCAGAAGGTTACATGTCCACCACAACAGTCCAGAAGGTTACATGTCCACCATAACAGTCCAGAAGGTTACATGTCCACCATAACAGTCCAAAAGGTTACATGTCCACCATCACAGTCCAGATGGTTACATGTCTACCATCACAGTCAAGATGGTTACATGTCCACCATCACAGTCCAGATTACGAGTGGACCACCACCGTCCAGAAGCTTACAGGTCTACCACCAGTCCTTAAGCTTACAGTTCCACCGCTACAGCCCTGAGGCTTACAGGTCTACCACCACTATCCAGAAGATTACAGGCCCACCACTGTCCAGAAGGTTACAGGTCCACACCACCACTGTCCAGAAGGTTACATGTCCACCACCACTGTCCAGAAGGTTACAGGTCCACCACCACCACCACTGTCCAGGTTACAGGTCCACCACCACCACCGTCCAGAAGCTTACAGGTCCACCACCATCGTCCAGAAACTTACAGGTTCACTACCACCGTCCAAAACTTTGGGGCCCAGCCCCTGGACCCATTATGTACCTCTGTAATCTTTTAACTACCGCCCACAGGATGGGTATGGGGTGCATAAAAAACATATTAAACTTAAACTAACACCGTCCAGAAGCTTATAGGTCCACCACCACAACCACCGTCCAGAAGCTTATAGGTCCACCACCACAACCACCGTCCAGAAGCTTACAGGTCCAACACAACCACCACCGTCCAGAAGCTTACAGGTCCAACACAACCACCACCGTCCAGAAGCTTACAGGTCCAACACAACCACCACCGTCCAGAAGCTTACAGGTCCAACACAACCACCACCGTCCAGAAGCTTACAGGTCCACTACCATCATCGTTTAGAAGCTTACAGGTCCACTACCACCATCGCCCAGAAGCTTACAGGTCCACCACTACCGTCCAGAAGCTTACAGGTCCACTACTACCATCGTCCAGAAGGTTACAGGTCCACTACTACAATCGTTTAGAAGCTTACAGGTCCACTACCATCACCGTCCAGAAGCTTACAGGTCCACTACCATCACCGTCCAGAAGCTTACAGGTTCACTACCATCACCGTCCAGAAGCTTACAGGTTCACCACCGTCCAGAAGTTTACAGGTCCACCACCACCGTCCAAAAGCTTACAGGTCCAACACCACCATCACGTTCCAGAAGCTTACAGGTCCACCACCGTCCAGAAGCTTGCATGTCCACCACGACCGTCCAGAAGCTTACAGATCCACCACCACCGTCCAGGAGCTTGCATGTCCATATCGCCTAGAAGCTTGGTTGTCCACACCACAGCTTGCATGCTGTGCTCATGATAGCATGGCTTGCAAGAAGCAGTGGCTTGCAAGCAGCAGTGGCTTGCATGACTTGCAAGCAGCAGTGGCTTGCATGGCTTGCAAGGCTTGCAAGCAGCAGTGGCTTGCAAGGCTTGCAAGCAGCAGTGGCTTGCAAGGCTTGCAAACAGCAGTGGCTTGCAAGGCTTGCAAGCAGCAGTGGCTTGCATGGCTTGCAAGCAGCAGTGGCTTGCATGGCTTGCAAGCAGCAGTGGCTTGCAAGGCTTGCAAGCAGCAGTGGCTTGCATGGCTTGCAAGCAGCAGTGGCTTGCATGACTTGCAAGCAGCAGTGGCTTGCATGGCTTGCAAGGCTTGCAAGCAGCAGTGGCTTACAAGGCTTGCAAGCAGCAGTGGCTTGCAAGGCTTGCAAACAGCAGTGGCTTGCAAGGCTTGCAAGCAGCAGTGGCTTGCATGGCTTGCAAGCAGCAGTGGCTTGCAAGGCTTGCAAGCAGCAGTGGCTTGCATGGCTTGCAAGCAGCAGTGGCTTGCAAGGCTTGCAAGCAGCAGTGGCTTGCAAGGCTTGCAAGCAGCAGTGGCTTACATCCTAGGCTGAGCTATCATTAAGATTATTATTATAATCAAAAAGGAGCGCTAAGCCACAAGGGCTATACAGCGGCTATCATTAAGAGAGACGCCAAGTTGGAGGTCTTACCAGCACAAGCAACCCATCACATGTACGTCCTTGACTCTCACGTTACTCTCCCCACCAGAAACATTTGGTCGTTGGACATACAAAACAAAGGTACTCACATATGATGGAGATGGGAACAATGTGTCCTAGGGAAGTCAAATTGGCTTCCTCCTCCTCACACACACGACCCTCGCACAAAACTGGTTCACTTAACTCGTCTCCTAATGATACATCACTGGTGTTGTATTACGATACACAGAATTACCTTAACCTTATTAGGACTAATTCTCAATCTAGTGCAAAGGGAAATGTTTTGTTATTTCAGTGGTTTATTTACAGGGAGCACAGGAGCACCGACATACACCTCCGATCACAGCCAACAGACAACTGAACACAATCCAAGATGGCTGCGTTTGTTGGTAACTTCGTACGCAAGCACCGAACCTGACTGAAAAGGTCATTAAATTAGCACCTCTCACGCATATCGAATAAATTTAAAGTTGCGGGAGTATGTATGAACGCAGTTACTTTCACGTTGTTTATAAATTAGTTTAAGGAAAATCCACATCAGTTCCGTTGAGAACATCAGGGTTGTCGGACGCAGCATCAGTGTCCGTTTTCTGTTACTTCCTCAAACTTATAAAAACAAAATATTTATATTGTTTTATCCTTTTTATATATCAACATCTGTTGTCTTATCTACGGAAATACTTTACCGGTCTTTAGTTATATAAAGTTCAGTGACCCCATATACCATAGAACGATAACGAGAATATTCCCTGAATTTGAGCTGCCTTAATTAAAATGCACGATTATTTTACGATTAGTAATTCTATTATAATACACACGGAGTTAGTACCATGCTGCTTCACCATTACTAAAAAGGACAATTGGGTTGTTCTTGGGTGTGATATATAGGATAAAAAAATATTACTCTTAATGGTAATAGCACTTTGAACCTTAGGGAGATATCTAAGGTAATTTATATTATGTATTATAATGATTTATGACCATGTCTAAAAACCTCACTAACTTACTAGTGAGACATGCTTTTTTGGGTTATATTTAGGTAATCATAAATATATGTTACTTGCAAAAACACTCTGAAAGAATAAGAAATTCAAGCACTTTCGTGACTACTACTCATTATCAGGCTATGAGCCATAGTTCTTGATAATGTGAGTAGTACAATGCTTAATTTCTAATTTTCATGGTTTTTGCATATTCTGAAACACTGACTGTGATTATTGCATAGTTTACTGTATAATAACTGTACATAATTGTATATAACATGGAGCAAAACTGATAGGAATGAGGAAGAGCCAGAGGTGAGTCAGTGGGTCAGAACATGAGTCAGTGGGTAGGAACATGAGTCAGTGGGTAGGAACATGAGTCAGTGGGTAGGAACGTGAGTCAGTGGGTCAGAATATGAGTCAGTGGGTAGGAACATGAGTCAGTGGGTCAGAACATGAGTCAGTGGGTAGGAACATGAGTCAGTGGGTCGGAACATGAGTCAGTGGGTAGGAACATGAGTCAGTGGGTAGGAACATGAGTCAGTGGGTCAGAACATGAGTCAGTGGGTCAGAACATGAGTCAGTGGGTAGGAACATGAGTCAGTGGGTAGGAACATGACTCAGTGGGTCAGAACATGAGTCAGTGGGTCAGAACATGAGTCAGTGGGTAGGAACTTGAGTCAGTGGGTAGGAACATGAGTCAGTGGGTCGGAACATCAGTCAGTGGGTAAACATGAGTCAGTGGGTAGGAACTGAGTCAGTGGGTAGGAACATGAGTCAGTGGGTCGGGAACATGAGTCAGTGGGTCAGAACATGAGTCAGTGGATAGGAACATGAGTCAGTGGGTAGGAACATGAGTCAGTGGGTAGGAACATGAGTCAGTGGGTCAGAATATGAGTCAGTGGGTCAGAACATGAGTCAGTGGGTCAGAACATGAGTCAGTGGATAGGAACATGAGTCAGTGGGTAGGAACATGAGTCAGTGGGTAGGAACATGAGTCAGTGGGTAGGAACATGAGTCAGTGGGTAGGAACATGACTCAATGGGTAGGAACATGACTCAGTGGGTAGTAACATGAGTCAGTGGGTAGGAACATGAGTCAGTGGGTAGGAACATGAGTCAGTGGAGTCAATGGATAGGAACATGAGTCAGTGGGTAGGAACATGCGTCAGTGGGTCGGAACGTGAGTCAGTGGGTAGGAACATGACTCAGTGGGTAGGAACTTGAGTCAGTGGGTAGGAACATGAGTCAGTGGGTAGGAACATGAGTCAGTGGTAGGAACGTGGAGTGCGAACTGAGTCAGTGGGTAGGGACATAAGTCAGTGGGTCAGAACATGAGTCAGTGGGTCAGAATATGAATCAGTGGGTAGGAACATGAGTCAGTGGGTAGGAACATGAGTCAGTGGGTCAGAACATGAGTCAGTGGGTAGGAACATGAGTCAGTGGGTAGGAACATGAGTCAGTGGGTCAGAACATGACTCAGTGGGTAGGAACATGAGTCAGTGGGTAGGAACATGAGTCAGTGGGTCGGAACATGAGTCAGTGGGTAGGAACATGAGTCAGTGGGTAGAACATGAGTCAGTGAGTAGAAACATGAGTCAGTGGGTAGGAACATGACTCAGTGGGTCAGAACATGAGTCAGTGGGTAGGAACATGAGTCAGTGGGTAGGAACATGAGTCAGTGGGTAGGAACATGAGTCAGTGGGTCGGAACATGAGTCAGTGGGTAGGAACATGAGTCAGTGGGTAGGAACACGAGTCAGTGCGTCAGAACATGAATCAGTGGGAAGGAACATGATTCAGTGGGTAGGAACATGACTCAGTGGGTAGGAACATGACTCAGTGGATAGGAACATGACTCAGTGGGTAGGAACATGAGTCAGTGGGTCAGAACATGAGTCAGTGGGTAGGAACATGAGTCAGTGGGTCAGAACATGAGTCAGTGGGTCAGAACATGAGTCAGTGGATAGGAACATGAGTCAGTGGGTAGGAACATGAGTCAGTGGGTAGGAACATGAGTCAGTGGGTCAGAATATGAGTCAGTGGGTCAGAACATGAGCCAGTGGGTCAGAACATAAGTCAGTGGATAGGAACATGAGTCAGTGGGTCAGAATATGAGTCAGTGGGTCAGAACATGAGCCAGTGGGTCAGAACATAAGTCAGTGGATAGGAACATGAGTCAGTGGGTAGGAACATGAGTCAGTGGGTCAGAACATGAGTCAGTGGGTAGGAACATGAGTCAGTGGGTAGGAACATGAGTCAATGGGTAGGAACATGAGTCAGTGGGTAGGAACATGAGTCAACGGGTCGGAACGTGAGTCAGTGGGTAGGAACATGACTCAGTGGGCAGGAACTTGAGTCAGTGGGTAGGAACATGAGTCAGTGGGTAGGAACATGAGTCAGTGGGTAGGAACATGAGTCAGTGGGTAGAAACATGAGTCAGTGGGTAGGAACATGAGCTAGTGGGTAGGAACATGAGTCAGTGGGTAGGAACAGAAGTCAGTGGGTCGGAACATGAGTTAGTGAGTAGGAACATGAGTCAGTGGGTAGGAACATGACTCAGTGGGTAGGAACATGAGTCAGTGGGTAGGAACATGAGTCAGTGGGTAGGAACATGACTCAGTGGGTAGGAACATGAGTCAGTGGGTAGGAACATGAGTCAGTGGGTCGGAACATGAGTCAGTGGGTACTAACATGAGTCAGTGGGTCAGAGCATGAGTCAGTGGGTAGGAACATGAGTCAGTGGGTCAGAACATGAGTCAGTGGGTCAGAACATGAGTCAGTGGATAGGAACATGAGTCAGTGGGTAGGAACATGAGTCAGTGGTTAGGAACATGAGTCAGTGGGTCAGAATATGAGTCAGTGGGTCAGAACATGAGCCAGTGGGTCAGATCATGAGTCAGTGGATAGGAACATGTCAGTGGGTAGGAACATGAGTCAGTGGGTAGGAACATGAGTCAGTGGGTAGGAACATGAGTCAGTGGGTAGGAACATGAGTCAATGGGTAGGAACGTGAGTCAGTGGGTAGGAACATGAGTCAATGGGTCGGAACGTGAGTCAGTGGGTAGGAACATGACTCAGTGGGTAGGAACTTGAGTCAGTGGGTAGGAACATGAGTCAGTGGGTAGGAACATGAGTCAGTGGGTAGGAATATGAGTCAGTGGGTAGAAACATGAGTCAGTGGGTAGGAACATGAGTCAGTGGGTAGGAACATGAGTCAGTGGGTAGGAACATGAGTCAGTGCGTCAGAACATGAATCAGTGGGAAGGAACATGATTCAGTGGGTAGGAACATGACTCAGTGGGTAGGAACATGACTCAGTGGATAGGAACATGACTCAGTGGGTAGGAACATGAGTCAGTGGGTCAGAACATGAGTCAGTGGGTAGGAACATGAGTCAGTGGGTAGGAACTTGAGTCAGTGGGTAGGAACATGAGTCAGTGGGTAGGAACATGAGTCAGTGGGTCGGAACGTGAGTCAGTGGGTAGGGACATAAGTCAGTGGGTCAGAACATGAGTCAGTGGGTCAGAATATGAATCAGTGGGTAGGAACATGAGTCAGTGGGTAGGAACATGAGTCAGTGGGTCAGAACATGAGTCAGTGGGTAGGAACATGAGTCAGTGGGTAGGAACATGAGTCAGTGGGTCAGAACATGACTCAGTGGGTAGGAACATGAGTCAGTGGGTAGGAACATGAGTCAGTGGGTCGGAACATGAGTCAGTGGGTAGGAACATGAGTCAGTGGGAAGGAACATGAGTCAGTGAGTAGAAACATGAGTCAGTGGGTAGGAACATGACTCAGTGGGTCAGAACATGAGTCAGTGGGTAGGAACATGAGTCAGTGGGTAGGAACATGAGTCAGTGGGTAGGAACATGAGTCAGTGGGTCGGAACATGAGTCAGTGGGTAGGAACATGAGTCAGTGGGTAGGAACATGAGTCAGTGCGTCAGAACATGAATCAGTGGGAAGGAACATGATTCAGTGGGTAGGAACATGACTCAGTGGGTAGGAACATGACTCAGTGGATAGGAACATGACTCAGTGGGTAGGAACATGAGTCAGTGGGTCAGAACATGAGTCAGTGGGTAGGAACATGAGTCAGTGGGTCAGAACATGAGTCAGTGGGTCAGAACATGAGTCAGTGGATAGGAACATGAGTCAGTGGGTAGGAACATGAGTCAGTGGGTAGGAACATGAGTCAGTGGGTCAGAAAAATGAGTCAGTGGGTCAGAACATGAGCCAGTGGGTCAGAACATAAGTCAGTGGATAGGAACATGAGTCAGTGGGTAGGAACATGAGTCAGTGGGTCAGAACATGAGTCAGTGGGTAGGAACATGAGTCAGTGGGTAGGAACATGAGTCAATGGGTAGGAACAT